CTGTTGGCTACCCCATCAGATTTGGGGCTTCCTTCCCAAATGCATGGGCCAACTCCTTAAAATTAATCTCTCTCTCTCTTTCTCTCCATTTATATATATGGTCCATTCTCTCTATCCATGGGCTCCACATCATAGATCCAATCAACTGTGGATTCAAAGTATTGGGGAAAAAATTGTGTCTGTGCTCATCATGCACAGACTTTTTTTGGATAGTGAGCATGACTGTCTGTACACACATTCTGGTGGTCCTCTTTCTTGGTAGAACACTAATAAACACACCATCACTCAAGAGACAGGAGCCAGTGTGGTGGGCGTAGGTCCCATTTCTGCCACTTACTATCTAGGTAGTCCTATTTGAAGTTATCCGAACTCTCTGAGTCTGTTTGTCACATTGAAATGACACTAAATGCTCTTGCTTTGCCTGTCAGTGAGGACTAACGAATTTGGGGCCAGAACAGGGTGAAGCTGGAGGCCTAGAGACCGAGTTGGATTGGGTTCTTCACTATCAGGTGCTCACACTGCACACCCTGAGAGCGAATGCCTTAGGCGGCTCTTGCCTCACCTTATCCTAGCCCTGATTGTATGGAACAAACATTATAATGGACATTGGACCAGAAGAACCCATGGCCTATCAGACTGTGACTTCTTAAAGGGCAGGAACCATATTGTTTTTAATTTTATATGTATCTTTATATTCTTTAGTGCTGGGCAGAGATCCAGGGACCTAGAAGATTCCCAATAAATGTTTAAAGAATGAACAAATATTTGTGGAATGACATAGAACAGCTAAGCAAATATAATAAGCAAATAAATACTGAGGCTGTAAAAAATCAGTCTCCAAACAGAAATTCAGCAAGGTGTAAGAGCATTTGTTGCATTAATGTGTCAAGAGAAGGCCTTGCTCTGGGACAAGGTCAGTAAAGTCTCTTTTCCAATGTGTAGAAGAATAGAATTTGTAGCTTTGAATAAAGATGTTTATAACTTGTACTCAAAATCAAGGTCTCATCCTTTGACATTGGAACAAATACACAGTGCAAAAAATCCAAAGTAGAAAAATGTTTTGTAAAATTCATGACATTTCAAAGTACATTCCTCTGACATTCATTCTTGAAGGGAATTTTTTTTAAAGATGTTATTTAATACAAATACTTTCTCTTAAGAAAAAAAATAAATGTAACTGCATTTTTTAGATTTGGGATTACTGTGTTACTTATTCACACTTTTTTTTGAATAATGTATGTGTTACCTAAATAAATATTCATGGGTAGGTGAATTCTTAGTATAGGATTTATAATAATGAATTTGACTTTCCAGTTATGATAACAGGGGTTCTAAATTTAGGAGCAAATAGAAAGCTATAATTTCCTTTCCCTAGGGCCCAAGACCTAAGGGAGAAAGAGAATTTCATTCTTCCCGTGCCTACTTAGTACTGTAAGATGAAGGAAGTAGGCGATCAGGGACTCTCTGATAGGTCCTGGGGTTTTTCAACGATGGGCAACTCTGTATGGGCTGAGCTTATGCTCAATTAGAACTGAATTAATAAAAGCATGCTTTTAAAAAAAGATGGAATCAAAAGGAAAGAAAATGTACTTAATGATATTCTTTTTTCTATGATTAAATATATTAATTGTTGCTGGGCACAGTGGTCCATACCTGTAATCCCTGTGACTTGAGAGACGGAGGCAGGAGGATGGCAAGTTTGAGGCCAGCCTCAGCAACTTAGTGAGACCCTCAGCAACTTAATGAGACCCTGTGTCAGAAGAAAAAATAAAAGGGATTGGAGATATGGCCCAGTGGTAAAATACCTGGGTTAAATCCTCACTACTGAAAAAGAAAGAAAGAAAGAAAAAGAATAAGAAAAAAAGAAAGAAAGAAAGAAAGAAAAGAATTATCTAATAGATAACTGAATGGAATATTTGTTTTCAGAAGCGTGAACTGAAATGCCCTTAGAGAACAGAGGAAGAGGTGATCTGAGTTCCTCAGCAACCCCCTTCACCAGCAGAAATCACAAAACCACCATGGCCCTGAGTGACTATCCACAGAACTACTCAATCAAAGGGTATTTGATAGATATTATCAACTGTCCCTCCAAAAGTTGAGTAAACTGTTTCTTCCTGCCCCTTCTTAGCTCTCCTTGCAATGAAAATCCTGCAGTCTTTTTTTTTTTTTTTTTTTAAGGTATTCTATTGGGGGATGTACATAGCAATAACAAAATATCTCTGATTTTTTAATGCTAAAAGATATGAGGAAAAGAAAGATCTATCATCTTTTTATCTATCTAATCTATCATAATCCTCGTTGATTTTGAAATTGAAAATAATAAATGGTTTTAGTAAGAAAATTCAGGTCTGGGGATGTGGCTCAAGCGGTAGCGCGCTCGCCTGGCATGCGTGCGGCCCGGGTTCGATCCTCAGCACCACATACAAACAAAGATGTAGTGTCCGCCAAAAACTAAAAAAAAAAAAAAAAAAATTAAAAAAATTCTAAAAAAATAAAATTCAAATAATATAAAGAAGTATGTTTGAACTAAAAGCTTCCTTCCTCACCCAATGACTCTACTCCTAGGAGACTCGTTAATGGTTTCTTAAGTGTATTTTTTTTTTTTACAAAAAAGGTGATATGCTAGCATATATTTTTTAAAAAGATGCCCATTATTTACTTATAATATATTGCCTTGTGCACCTTGCTTTTTTCACTTCATAATATACCTTGAATATTTCCTTGTATTAACACACATAGATCTACCATATTTTTTATAATTTTCCCTGGCATTCCATTGTAGTTATTTAACCAGACCCTTTCTTGTAGTCTTTTGCAACCTTTTTTTGCTATTACAATGAATATCCCCCATATCCTATGTATTCATATGTTAACTGGGGCCAATATTCACAGGCCAATATTCACAGACAGTGCCCTAAGTGTCTCATCTCTGTGGGCCCCATTCACTCTGTAGATATCCCACTCAAAGATTTATGATAATTTTCTGGCAGGTAGACATAAAATGGTTTGATGAAGGCACTCTTTTTTTTATAATTTGTACAAAATCACCATGGCCCTGAGTAACTATCCACAGAACTACTGAATCAAAGGGTATTTGATAGATATTATCAACTGTCCCTCCAAAAATTGAATAAACTTTTTTTTGTGTGTGTGGTGCGGGGGTACCAGGGTTGAACTCAGGGGCAATCCACCGCTGAGCCACATCTCAGCCCTATTGTTTTTGTATTTTATTTACAGAGAGAGTCTCACTGAGTTACTTGGTGCCTTGCTTTTGCTGAGGCTGGCTTTGAACTCAGTGATCCTCCTGCCTCTTTTGCTCAATTTTGACAGACTTTAGTGCTTGATTTAAAAAAATCTAAAACTTACTATGTCATTTTCAATTATAGTCAACTTCTACTTACTGGAAGTGATAGGAAAATAAGAGCTGGGGATTTGGCTCAGTGGTGTTGCATTTGCTTACCACATGCAAGGCCCTGGGTTCAATTCCCAGTATTACTAAAAGAAAGAAAGAAAGAAAAAAAAGGTAAGAACAGAATAGTTGAAATCTTAAAAAAAAAAAAAAAAGAAAAAGATAATTCTCAATGGGAACAAATGGTCTTTCTCTTTTTTTTTTTTTTTTGGTGGCACTGGGGACTGAATTCAGGACCTTGCACATGGTAGACCAGCCCTCTACCACATCCCTAGCTCCTTTAAACTTTTTATTTTGAGGCAGGGTCTAAGTAGCCCAGGCTGACCTCAGTTTTGTAATCTCCCTGCTTTGGCCTCCACACCCCCAAGTCATGAGTACACCTCCTGCTAACTTTCCCTTCAGTTCTGGGGACGACCTAATGTGCCGTCCTGGGAAGCAATGGACACCAGCCACAAAGGACCCTGTGTTTAGTCCCAGGGCACCTAAGACCTGCATAGTTGGTTCTTAAACATGAAATGTTGATAACGATGTCCTCTTTTGCTCTTTTTTGGAGGAATTACATGACCAGTATTGGGAAAGGTGCAGAGTGCTGTGGTGGAGTTGTATTGAGAGGCTGGTGTTATGGGATTACAGATGGGGTCATCATGGGGCATCTATTTAGGGGTAGATAGAAGAATGTTCCACTATCAAGGAAGGGTCCACTGTCCCAGTGACCCTGAAAGTGATAGCCGCCCCTATCCTAAGGTCCTTCTGGACACGGGTTTATTGTTCTATTGGTCCAACTATGCTTGACATTACTCTCCGCATCCTGAGAAGCCTGCATGTCTGTCTCTCCTAGGGATTCTACTGGATTCCACAGTAAATGTGAAGGGGAAGGGAGAGCAAAGGGAATCTTGAGATTTATTTTTTAGTTGTAGATGGACACAGTTTCTTTATTTTATTTGTTTGTTTTTATGCAGTGCTGAGGATCGAACCCAGTGCCTCACACGTGCTAGGCAAGTACTCTATGTTGAGCTACTATTCCTTGGAGAGGATGACTATTTTAAGAGGAGGAACATAGTAAGTCATGTTCAAAACAAACTTAGAGACCAGGAAGGTGGGGGAAGGGATGGAGAAGAAAACCTATTGGGGAAAGGCAACAGGGTGGGAGGAAGGAGGGTGGTGTGAATCGGAACAGGACCTTAACAGTGAACAGCTGGTCAAGGGGGAGAGCAAGTGGAACGGTGTTCCCTTAACTAGGTTTGAGACTCTAGGTGAGTTCCCTTCTCAGTCAGCCCCTCAGTTGCCCTATTTCTCCAAGAGGCATTATTGCAGGAAGCAGACTGGTGGAGAAGCAGCAAGCAGCACTGGGAAAGGAGGAGAACTCCAAACTTTATTGTAACCGGTGGGCCCAGAGGAGATCAGACTCCAGATTCTGAGATCCGGTGGCCAGTTTTCTACAACATTTACAGGCTGTCTAGTGTCACAAAATTCCTAGTCTAAATAATCCTTGGGGAAGTCATTTACAATCCAAAAGGTGGGAGTGGATGGTGCTAATCAAGTTCCCTGAAGATGGACTAGAAAGGGGAGAGGAACTTTGCTTTCCCAGCGCTAATTCTCACAACAGTGTGCTTAGTTTATTTCGTATCCAGGCTTGGATTACGTTACAGCATGAGAAGGATCCCCTTCCCAAGTCTGGGAGGGCAAAATGACCCACAGCACAACAATGCTCTGGGATGTCAAAAGCAGAGATGAGAGTGCAGGTAGTCATGGCTGAGGGGCCATTTGCTTTCTCTTGCGCTGTGTCCTCGTCCAGCTCTGGTCCACCACCAGACTCCCATGGCTTCTGTGGACCCTGAAGGAAACAGGAAATGTGCTGTGAGAAGCATACGTTTGCAAAACTGCAAGACATATTATGTATCTCTAGCAATTATCAGGAGGCGGATTGCCTAAAACGGTCTCATTATGTGTTTGAACTCTAATCTGTTCGATGTTTCATCTTCAAGGACAAAACATTGCTTACAATGGACCACGAGCTTCTTTAAAGCCCAGTGATGTTCCTGGCATTAGTTACATTTGCTTTCCATCGGGGTGAGCACAGACCGACAAGCCAGGCACACCAAGCAACTCGTCGCCTAGCTCAGGTAAGACGGCACAGAACATTTTCTGAATCTCACCCCTCCTGCTAAACACTTCTGTGCCACGCGGTTGATCGAAGGCTATAGACTGAATCGGTCAGGATGAAAAATGTCTACATAAGTCCATGATTACTCTTTGGAATTAGGAATACTGGTGAAGCTATGGAGATAATTACTGTAAAAAGGTATTTAAGCTTGAATTTCTTTTCTTTAAAAAGCAACTATCCTTTCTGTTTATTTTATACTAGATTTATTCCTGGGCCATAAGTTTCTTCTGGGATATCTTCCCCCCTGCCCGGGGGTGGGAGTCATTTTTGTTTCTTTTGTGCAATCCCCTGACTGAGGAAGTTTGTTCCTTTTCGGTGAAGATCATGCCAACACGGCAGAGGAAGCTCCTGGGTGGATGGATCTGACAGTGCCCTCTGTATATGCTGTGTACACCTTGGGGGGAGGGGCTTGGTTCACCTGGATGTGCTCAGGAATCAAAGAATCTACAGTTAACCAGTAAGGCCATTATTCCTGTGATTTTTAAGCATGTGCAGCAAAAATTCAGCGCTCCCTTTGGGTCACTGAGATCCTGTGCCAGCTCTGCTTTCTGGCCTGGGTACACCTCTCAACTCCACCATCATAATGAGTGACAGAGGGGCACCCACTGCTTTTGCGAAGTGACTGCTTTCAGTTACTTGGTGGTTTTTAAATTTTTTAACCTCTATCTATCTTTCTATCTATCTATCTATCTATCTATCTATCTATCTATCTATCTATCTATCTTTCACTGTGCTGGGAATCAAACCCAGGACCTCCAACATGCTAGATGAGTTCTCTGTCACTGTGCTACAACCCCAGCCCTACTTGGTGGTCTTTTTAGAAATGTAATGGCCTGGGTGGGAAGTTTTCTGGGTGTTTTTCAGGGGACTTGAAGATCTGAACCTCTTGATGGCATGATTTTGTGGGCTTTTCTGGGCCAAGTAAGCAGCGAATCGTTTTCAGAGATCACCTCAAGCCAAGAGGTCACAGGAAGAGCTTGGAATCATTCTTGCATTCCATTACCAAGAGTGACTGTCACGTCATGAGGTCAGAAAACACGGCAGAGCAGCCACATGGGGGCGGGGGGCAAGGAAACAACTGAGAGCAGCTTTCTGTTCCTAGAGTTTGTTGCACTGTATTTGCAGGGGAGGAGACCAGGGTCACGGGGACTTCTGCTTTCCCCTGCTAGGGCATATTTGAAATTGAGAAGCAAGCCCAGGACTTTTTTCCTGTGACATGTATTCTATTTAAAAATTTGAAGCAAAAAAAATACCATTGTTTTATTTAAAATCTATTCATGGGTGGGGGCATGGCCTCATGGCAGCGTGCTTACCTAGCATTTGCGAGGCCCTGGGTTCGATTCTAAGCACTGCAAAAAACAAAATGAGCCACACATGGAGCAGCGGGAATAGAAAGTTGCGCAAAGTTCAAGAAGAGCCTGCCAGGGATGTCCACGTGCCCAGGCAGAGTCAGGGAACCAGCAGGTTCTGGGGCTTATCAGGGTTAACTAGACAGTGGGTGCTTAGATGGCCTCCACATTCCCACCTTCCCCTCCATGCTTTTCTCCTCTGTCTCTTGGTGCCAAACTGTTTCTGTTCAGCCCAGGTACAGATGTGCATTTCCCGTGAAGGTTCTCCTGAGTGACTGCCCTTTGACTCTGAAGGCTCTTTATCAGCACTCTCTGTGGCACTTGCCACTGTCCTGTGATAAGGCCCAGTGTGAAGTCCTCTCCTGGTCAGTTCTCTTTGGGGGACCCTTGAGCTTTGATCCCACCTGCTGAGCATGCTGTTGATAGAGGTAGGATCCCAATGAACATTTGGAGGATGAATGGATGGAAGTTGGCATTCCCAGTCTTTGGCTGAGGAGGCAGGTGTGTGTGTGTGTGTGTGTGTGTGTGTGTGTGCGTGTTTGTGTTTGTGTGTGTGCGTGTTGCTGAGGATCAAACCCAGGGCCTTGCACATGCTAGGCAAGCGTTCTACCACTGAGCTACAACCCCAGCCCCTGACTTGACTTCTTTTTAGAAATGAAAATCAAGACAAGGTTTGGCCTAACTTGGGGATACCTGTTGAGAGAAAATGAGAAGGAGGAGACAAACCTCTCACTTTTAGACAAGTTTCCAGAGCAAACAAAGCACGCTCACACAAGGAGGTGCTTTTGACAGTCATGGAACTGAAGAGAAATGTCTTTGATTGGTGACTGTCACTTGGCCCTATTTCCCAAGTCTAACTGGCAAGTGGATTGTTGATGGATTTAGTTCTGCCTACTACCCTTTTTGTCAGGATGCAGGCTCGGTGGCATCAGCCCTGGGGTACCTCTGACAAAGAGGAATCCTTCAAAAGGATGAAAGAAAACCATTAAACAATTAACTCAAATCACTCTGATGTGTTACTTTTAAGGACTCATGTCATCAGTACAACAATATGTGGCAATCAAATTATTCAAGAAACTTTCTCTCTTATTCCCAGAAGAACTGTGCTGCAGCCTAAGGCCACGTAAGGAGAATCTTGGGTTCTCTTGGGCCTTGTGCCCTGATTTCAGATTCTCCTCAGGTTGGTACAGTGTCTGGAACACTCTGGGGCCATTTCAGTTCTACCCATGTCACTCATGAGAAGATTGTGAGAGGGCTGAAACGAGGCCACTGTAAGCCCCAGGAGGGCTCCTGGAGACCAATTCTAGTTCTGGCCCTGATTTCCTTCATGGCTTTAAGCCAAACTAGGAAACTCTCCCCCTTGGATTTCCCATTTATCAGAAGAGAAGATACTGTTTCTCTGATTTCTGTGTCAAATGTCTTCAAAGTTGAATACAAAGTAATATTAGAAAGAAGGGGGTATTAGCAGCGTTCCTGTAGGAGCTGGGGTATAACTCAGTGGTAGAGTGCTTGCCTGGCATGTGCAAGGCCCTGGATTTGATTCACAGCATTAGGGGGTAAAAAGTGTGTTTCTGCTCATGTATGGGTGTGAGATTTCACAGAGAATCTTCACAGTCACAGAGTGGATGTCCCTTCTCTAATCTCCTCTGTTCCTGGTTTGATTTTAAGCACTACATGGATCAATTCAGCACATGAATTATGTCTTTTTTTTTTTTTTTCCAAGTCTGGGAATTGAGCCCAGGGTCTCATGCTGGGCAAGCACTCTACCATTGAACTACGTCCCCAGCTGGGATTATGTCTTTTTCCCACTCTTGCAGAACCCACCTCTGGTTACACCAAAAAGATGGAGGCTAATTTGGAAAAACTGAACTTGTAACTCCATGTGAACTCTCATTTTCACATCGATGCATCTTTGTTTCTGTGGCTTGTTCTCTCTTCCTCCTGCCCAGAGCTAACCCTTTCCCCGGTACCCTTCACTCCTCCCTCCATATTTTCCTATTACACTGTCACCACTTGGCACATTTTAGGGCTCTCCTGCCACTGATCTCAAACATGCCCAGGCTTTATTCTATTTTTAAAGCACACGAGAAAATCAGAATGCCTTTCCTTGACCTTGCAGTCTCTTCTAGTCTATTTATTGCTCTCCTTTTGCAGGGAGACATCTCAATTTCCTCTTTCCTTGTGGCCCCTTGGTTTGGCAGTGTAGCTTCCCTTTTCCGTCACTCTATTGAAACTGCATCCTTTAAAGTCAGCAGTGGTGCCCTTGGAGCCCGTTCCAAAAAGGGTTTTGTTTTAGCCTCATCATTCTTATTTTTTCTGGAGCACTGAGTTTCTTTACCTTACTCTGATGTATTTCTCTGGTTTATTTTTGTTCCCTTATTTCCTAAATGAATTTTCCAAACTGGGCCACTGCACAGCGTCCTGGCTAAGTCCAAGTCTGGGATCACCGTGCCTGTGGTTGAATTCTAACTCTGCCCCTAATGAACTGCATTACCTTGGACAAGGTTATCTCTCCGTGCCTCAGTTTCACCAGTTTTAAAATGGGTATGGTAGGGAGAGTTCTTACCTTGATTTGTTGCAAGAATCAAATGGGACAGTCCTTGGAGTATTTACGTCAAGATTTGAACCATGAGAGTATTCTTCAGTGTTACGTATTAGCCTAACAATAAGCTCTTTTTCTTTTAGGACATATTGCTCGCATTCACCAACATGCTGTAAGCAGATAATAAATAATTATTGACACACAGATTTATGCAGTGGTGAAAAAGCTCAGGGAAGGTGGAATAATAGCAGAGGGCTCCTTAGGTCTGCAGGGGTTGTAGGACCCACGTTTTTATGTTTTTACCAATAAACCATTTAAATTGCTGAGAGTTTAAATGGGATGTATGGAGCAGGAAGGGCGTCAGCGGTTAAAGCCTTAGTTGTCAGTCACAGTGGTGCTCTTGGCGTGGAACGCAGCGTCCCATTCTTAAATTAAACGCGGCTCTAACGGGACGGTGTGGGGAAGGCAGCGGCCACAGCGCGGGGAAGCCGCGCATTGAGTGATGGCGCCATCTAGTGGCAGCACGAGGGAGCGTCGCTGGGCAGCGCGGTGTCATTTGGTGCAGGGGAAGGTCCTCAGAATTGCCGTCCTTTCTGGACAAAGTGGGGATGAGACTGGACCAGAGGAAAGAATAAAGGGAAAGCACAGCAAGAGGGAAGAAGAAACACCTCATCACAGAGTGGGGACCGAAAGGACATAATCAACCACGTCGTCGGTGTCATTCGGGGCAATTCCCGCCCCCACCTCGCGATCTTACACCCTTTGATTCCCCCCACCCCCATTCGAACCTCACTTTCCCACGCTCTGTGCTGCCCCGTTGTCCTGAACAGACACTGCTTCACCTTTTAATTTCCCTTTTTGTGGGTTAGAAATTCGGGACTGGGAAGATTTAGCCGAGTCATCACATTTGGCTCCACCCCGGAATAGCAGCCCTCCGGAGTGGCCCAGGACCAACCTCCAGCCCCACCGCAGCGGTTCGTCACGTGACAGCCACCCCAGGAGCGCAGGTAAGAGGATTGCCGCCTCGGGCAGCCCTACCTGCAGGAGAAGTCCCCTGCGCGCTTGGCTCCCAAACCCTTCCTGGAATGCCACTCCGGTTACAGTGTCAGAGGGAGTGGAATCCTAAGGAAGTAGCGATCTGGGGTGTTCTCTTTGGAAAACCCAAGGGAACAATGTTGACCATGAAACAGATTTGTTTTTCTCTTTTCACAAATTATAGATTATTGTCAACAAAGAGCATTAGAGTGGGAGGGACTGGTGGGAGGGCGTCAATGCTTCAAATTGAAGGGTCTACACACTTAGGTGGTCAGTGCACAGGTTGTCTAGGAGCCGAATACAGACTTAAAACAGAAGTATAGATTTTTGTCATCCAGAAAGGGAAAAACAGTACAGATTTTGAAGTCTTGAACTCTGCTATATTTGACCTTGGGTGAGTTGTTTAATGTTATTCTAAGCCCGTTTCTTCTCTAAAATAAATAATTATACACAATTTTCAAGGATTGTGAGGATTAAATGAAATATCATAAAAGATCTCTTATTTAAAGACAAGCATGGTGATGCACACTTATAAATCCCAGTTAATGGGTAGCTGAGGCACCGAGTGTGACAAGTTCCAGGCTAGCCTGGGCTTCTTCACAAGATCCTGTTTCAGAATAAAAGAGACTGGGGATGTAACTCAGTGGTACAGAGTTCAGTCTCCAGTACCCAAAGAAAGAAGGAAGAAAGGAAGGAAAGAAGGAAGGAGGGAAGGAAGGAAGGAAAGAAAAGAAAAGAAAAGAAAAGTTCTCTTATTTGAGATATTGGGACTGGATTCCACAGAATTACTCATATTTTGTTAGTTTATATTTAATTAAATTTCATAGCTGCAAGGCTGAGGATGTAGCTCAGTGATGGAGTGCTTGACCAGTATGCACAGGGCCCTGGGTTCCATCCCCAGCACTACAGAATAAAACACAAACAAACAGACAAATAAAATTTCACAGTGACAGTAACAAGTACATTGTTATAAACTAATTCTTCATAAACGTGAAACTACTGTGGTGCCACAGCAGCAATAGTTGGTAAAGTTCCCAGGCAGCCTGGAGAATCACAGTTAGCCCTCCAGGTTGGTTCAGTAGAGGTCAGCTAAATCAGCTTCCCCTGCACTCTACCTATATAAAGTGTTTAACCTAGTGCCTTGCATGTGAAAGTGTTTAATAGCTGGTAACTTATTCCTATTGTTATTAATAAGCTCAGAGTTGCAAGGATGGCTAGAAATCTGTTTCTTTTCTTCAAAATTTTACAGATGAGAAAAGATCCAAGTGTTTAAAATTTTGCCCTCAACATATACCTTTTGGCCTCAATGAGTAAAAGGATTATTGATCATAAACCTAATATTTTGATTCAGAAGGATTTAAGTTTGCAAAGGCATCTGGGAGTCGGCATAAAGCAAAAAACAGTCTTCTATGGTACTTCAAATCTATGTCTTTTCAGTAAGACCAGGTAGGACCATGGCATGGTGATGAAGACAAGACCCAGGGCCTCCCGGGTGGTAAAAACCAGGGGTCTGGGCATAGTACACACAGGGAATGTCTCCCAGAGGAAGAAGACTTAGTTGAACAAAGTACACAGGGATGAACAAAGTTTTGGTCACAGTAGGATCTGCATCTGTGATTGCCTTGGAAACCCAACAGAAAAGCCTCCTTCTAATAGGAAGAACCACTGCTAAGGGGCGAGTGGGCTTCTAGAAAGAGTCAGAATGCCTAAGAAATCTTGGAATCTGTGTACTGTGTTCATTTTTGTGTGTGTTTAAACATTCCTCTCTCAGATCCTGTGTTGTAACAGATGGGAATGATCCTTTTGTTTTGGTTGGATTGGGTGTAAAGGATGCAACTGGTTGAAAGGCAAAGACACTGCAGGCAGTAGGGATGTGTGTGGGTGATGGGTGTTCTTTTAAAAACTGCAAGTCTGAAAACACCAAGCTCCAGGCAAGGCCTTGTGACTCTCATTTACCTTCTAATTTTTTTAAAAAAGAAAATTTAAGAATAGCATTCTAGCAAAGTACAAATCATGGTTGCACATCTCCCTGTGTTTTTGTTGGTGGTGGTGCTGGGGATGGAACCCAGTGCCTCACACCTGCTAAGCTTGTACTCCACCACTAAGCTGCACCCCCAGCTCCTGCTATGCTTTTAATTTTATTTTGACAGTCATCTTAGTCAATTTTCTGTTGCTAATTACACAGTACCACAGATTGGGTACATTATAAAGCAAAGAGGCTTATTTTGGCTCACAGTTCTGGTCCAAGGTTAAGGGATCACATCAAATGATGGTGTCCTTGCTGACAGAGTCCCGAGCTGGTGTAGGACAACCCACAGTGAGACAAGGTGAACGGAAGAGACCAAGCAGACCCACTCTGGAGATAACCTATTAATCCTTTAATTGCATGAGTAGGCTAATCTCAGGAGGGCAGAGCCTTAATCATCCATTAAAGGTCCCACCTCTTACTCTCTCATAATGAGGATTAAATTTCAACATGAGTTTTGGAAGGGACAAACTGTATTCCAACTATAGCAACAGTGAAATTCATTGCCTCACAAGCATGCTATCCTATCAATCCTTGGTTCTTTGCAAAGACATCGATGTGCTTCTCTCTTACCCCTGCTCCTCCTGGGACTTCTGGGCTCTCTCATGATGTGTGGCTTTATGGGGTATGCCAATCCTGGGATTATTTTCCAGTTCAGAGGTTTTTATATACCAGCATATGTAACTTTGTGCAAAAAGTGCAATTCTCTGGCCCAATGCACACCAAGATTCTGTCCTGTAATTCTGGAGAAGTCTTGCAGTTTATAACATGTACCATGGAATTCTGACATAGGAGATTCCCTCAACACTGCAAGAAATGCTTTTGATTTTTCACCATAGATCATGATGAGCTCTGGGAGACAACTGTGAGGTTAAATGAGAGCACGGTGGTTTTGTGATAGGGAGGTGGGCAGGTGAGGAAGGTTTTGCTGGGACAGGTGTGAGCTGGAAATGGAGCCTGTGTGTGTCTCTCTGACCACATATCCTGAAACTTCCATGAAGCTCAGCTGTCCCTCCATTTGCCCTGATTGAGAACCTTCCACATTCTTGAACTCTAGACCTGACTATTAAGGCCAGACTGGCTGCTTGGTTTTTTAGGCCTGGGACCCCCCACCCCTACCCCCCCGCCCCAGCCCTGGCTCGCTAGAACCCTTAACTGCTTTGCTAACTTGCAAGAAAAGTCAAGCATAAAAAATGAAGGAGCAGGTTGTTGTCCTTCCCAATGGGGAGGAGCTCAGGCCTGGTTTCTTGTGGCTTGGAACACCGACACCAGCTGGTTTACAATGAGGCTGATGCCCTTCTCAGTGAGCAGGCCCCGAGCCTGCAGGATTTGGGCTTCTTTTAAACTGAACATACTCATTGTCAGGCATCTGTTGGGTCTGATTCAGAGCATTCCTCTTGAGAGGTAGCAAGTTCTACTGGAACATAAGGTCAAAGAAAACCCCAGAAAGAAAAAAATCAAACATGTTTTTCTTTATTGTTGTGGGGTTTTCCTTTCTTTCTGCCTCAATATAAGTTTATAACCCTTATTCTATGGGGAAGTGACCCTGTGCTGCTTTGGTTTCTTTCTCTTCAGTGGCTCTCAAGTGTGGTACCCAAGCCAGCTGCATCCTGGTATCAGTCTCACCTAGGAGTCTGCTAGAAATCATATTTTTTAGCTGTCTGCTCCAGGTGCACAGTCAGAGACTCTGGGGATCTGGCCTGGGAATGCATGTTTAGCACATCTGCCAGGTGATTTCTTATGCATGCGCAAATGTGAGAACCACTGTTTAACAAAGGCCTACGGGAATGCTGTCAACTCTGACAAAGAGAATCTTAGTTCAGCCAGCTACCTGATGAAAAGAGAAGAACTTTCAACCTGGAGTGGTGGTGGTGGTATAATTTTCTAGGTTTTTATCTGGGTTCCTATCACAATGGTTGCAGACAGGTCCATCGACCAGAGATGACGGATGGAGAAAGTAGGACTGGAGATTAGGGAGTGAATTTCCACCCCAGTGGCGATCTTTGTTAGGTTTCCTGGGTCTTCTGTTTTATGCAGATGCAAACACAATGTAATCAGTATTTCTCTCAATTTGATTTTACACAGATGGTAACATACTGAACACATTGATTTTCACTTTTCACTCAACAACCTGTTTTGGAGAGAATTTTGGCACATGTAGATATGCCCAATATTCGCTTAAATGACTGCATACATAGTAGTCATCAAAGAGTTGTACAGGTGTAATTATATGTAGTTTACTTAAATTATAATCATGGAAAGACACATTTTTGTTTGTTACAGTGCTATGTTGGCTGTCCTTTATGTGATGTGCTAATTCTGTAAGAATAAAGAATTCCTGAGCAAAAGAGTATGTCTATTTTAAAACAGTAAAGAGTATCAAGATCCCTTCCAAAAAAAAAAAAAAAAGTACCTATTGACATTTTGGGGGAGCTTTAAAAACACAAAATATGAGGCCACTCTTGATTTCAACTCTCAAGGACTCTTGGGTGGAGCTCAGGAATCTGAATTTTTTCTTGGGTGATTGTGAGACAAGAAGTCTGCAGGATGGAATAGGGAGCCAGGGTGTGGGCCCTGAGTCCCAAGCTGCTACTCCTCTTGGGCTGCCTGGAATTGCTCTTTCACTTTTTATGTGACTCTCTGTCTCCTCACCAAGGTAAAGGTTCCTAAGGACAGGCCTTTTCCTATCCTCCCTGGAAAAGCGCTTTGCAGTATTTATCAATGATGAGGCTTTGGAGGGGTTTGTAGCTCATGTGATGATCTTGGCTTTTCTCTTCTTCTTCTTTTAGTTCCATGGACCAAACACAGAGTATCCTGGACCAGCCTTCTTCTGTACCTCCTTCCCAGCCCAAGAGGAAAATGACATCAATGATAGCTTTCTTTTCCAAGGTCTGATCCCAAATATCATGCACATTTAAATGTTCCCTCCCAAAAGCCATTTTGAAGTTCTTTCTGGAAAGAAAAAAAATTAGATGTGAATTCTTTTAATATGGGTAGAATATTTATGGGAAGACAAGAAGATAAGTTGAGAGGGATTTAACTGGCTGCTAACCCAATAGTAAAAATATAGAATGAACCATGATAAATATTCA